CGAAACATGTTTTGTAATCCCAATATTGTATACCTAAGACGCTAATACGTGGCTTACCTACATACCCATATGAAACTAAACAGGTATCACAAACGCACTATTGTATGCTAAGTTGAAATTGGTACCTGTGGCCAAACATTCTCGAATTTAAATTTCATTAGTATAAGGTCGTCAGTCCTAAGACTAGTTGGGCACGCTTTCTTTCCTATCCTGAGCTAATCTTCGCATTTCCCTAAAACTAGAACAACCCACATCCTTAACTATTTGCAAACAATAATCTAATCCAGATCTACTTCTACTCCTCTTAACTACTGTTTCTGCCTCTAATATGTCTCTAACTAGATCTTCATGCCTAATAAGGTGTCTTACCATCCTACCATTTCTAACCTTCTCTATCAACGGTATCCTCATCATTCTGCTTTTAAATTTATCGGATTTAAATTTATTTATCAATATACCTTTTGGAACGATCAGTTTTATAATAAATCTCAAAATGCAGGTGAAATAATATAACGCATAATAAAGAACAGTAGCAGTAGAATTCGTAATTTAATAATGCAATTGGTCTTGCGAAAACCAAGACCAAGTCCTTATACTAGCAAGACGAAGACCAAGACAAAAACCAAGGCCAAATATGCCAGGCTGTGATCAAATACGTAAGGCTAGACGAAAAATTATTACCTTCGGCGGATTCATAAAATTCATTCACTAATGCAATACTTATTTTATGATTGCAATAAAATAAAATGTTTTTATTAGTCAACCTTTAGTAATCGTGAGTTGTTTAAAATTTTTAGACTGGAGCAGTCTTTGTCTTGATCTTGCTTTGCTCATCATTATTTACTACGATTTTCATTTATTTTCTTTTTATTCTTATCACCATCTAATTTCTAATAATTATCGCGTACAATAGGCGTCTATTGTATGAAAGATCCGAATTTCATTTCAGAATACATTTAATTATATTGTTAACAAATTTCATTGCCTTAATGCAGAACCTCACTAATGTCCATACATGTAAAGCCGGTAATTATACAGTACCGAATGTTTAAAAATTCACATGTAACGAAATGATGTTTAAATTATACCATAATAAAAGATTTCACAATATTATTTCTTTTCCGGAATATGTTCATTAGTTTAAATCACATCTGCCACGGTTTCCAACTAATATTTTCCTCAATTATATTCGACCTGTAAAGAATAAAAGCCAATAGGTTAAAAATCAACTGCAGTGAAACTTGAATTTGGGTCATTAGGATTTAAATGGGAACTTTACACGTGCTTTTAACGCCATGGGTGTACTCTCATCGGTGTTTGTAATTAAGCCTTATACTGGAACAAGCTATATCTATTAAGTACGTTAATTATTTCTTCAGTATTCCACTAACACAATAGAAAAGGTGTAAATATGTAGATGCTTTGCCAAGGTTTTTATTTGGTACAAGTAATCGAAATTGTATTGTTGTGATCGGTAAGATTAAACTTAAAATTTCGACATACCAGAGAACCTCCCATAACACGATTGTGGTTTAACAAAACTTAAGTTTGTTCGAGTCCTATTCACCAATTCGTTTTAGTAAAAATTCAGTTTCTTTCAATATCTGCTTTTTTCAAACAATAATTTCTTTCAGAATGAAAATCTTTTGCTACAATTTCGAGAAAGGTTTCTTTGTACCTATGTATAAAAATAGTGCTGTATACAACTATACAATACAACTTAAAGACAGTTTACAAGTTTTCCGAGACAGGTAAAGATAGTTCCAACCAAAGGGGTTCGATTTTCATAGTCCATATTGTAAAGTCTACAGTAGATGTAAGTGCAATACAAAATTCAAAAGCAAATTAAACGTCTATGCGTTTTTATCTCAATAACAAATAGCACCGCTAATTAGTTTTGATAGTGTAGCTTTATTCTGTACTACTAATAGTTAGTAGCAGGATATTGCCTGATATGAGCCCTTACAAGGCTAATCTCACCCCAACAAAGCTAATAAAACAGATAGAACGCTACTTCCAATGTAATGTTTGTTAAGAGTTATTAATAGTTATTATAAGTATTATAAGCTAATATTGTGGTATAGGGAAATAATTCAAAGGAATATGTACGAAAACATCACATACAAAACGATGTTCTCCAAACATGGGTGCAATTATTTTTCAAACCAAAAATTTAATGAGTTTGTACTTTAGCTCTTTGGATTTGTAGTGCAAACATGCTTTTTTTTCTATTTTAATGCCCTTTAAATTAAATGAGATATTTTTATAGAGCCTTGTTTCTTAATGTTATATGAAGATGCATGAAAGTAAGGGAATTCCTGTTACATAATTTCGATTTAGAGTGCATATAATGAGAACTGAATGTGCTATAAGTATGAAAACTGACTGTATTTTCTTGTGTATAAAACAATAAATACTGTTGAATATTTGAACAAAAAAATTCCATATGAATTACATGTAGTACAAATGTTAAAATACATCATTATAACTCTATAACTTCTCCTAATCGTTTTTATAAGGATTCCCAATAGTGATGAGCAAAATTGGTCTTGGTTTTGATTTTGCGAAAATACAAGACCAAAACCAAGACTGTCCCTATGGTAGCAAGACTAACACCGAATGAACAAGACCAAGACTAAAACTAAGACCCAATATGCAAGACCTAGACCAAATACGCAAGACTCAATGAAAAATTATCACTTCCGATGGATTTATGAGTTAAACTGTTTGAAGTTCATATCTCTTTGTTGGAACAAACAATATTTCTTATTTGAAATTTTCAGTATGCTTTATTACAGTTTAACACTAAATATTAAAAATGAAACATTAGTAGTGCTTGAAAAAAAGGATTTACAAGAATGTCCTCGTAATAAGTGTTATTCATTCCTATGTCTGGATAATACATTTAAATACAGTGAAATTTGTAATATATAAAAATACAATACTGACTAATAGTTTGATTAATAATTTTGAGGATTATGCAAAAAAAAATAATTGCAAGCTATTTTTTCAAATTTCAAAATTTAGTAATTTTTAAATGGCTGTAACTAGTCTTTTTGTAAAGATAATCATACTTTGTCTTAGAGTTTTGTAAAGCTCAAAGACTCAACTTTGAGAATATGAAACGGTTGTTTGGAAAAATTGCGTAAATTATGTGTAAATTCAATTTAAAACAAAAAAGAATGTTTCCTATGTTAATTAAATGGGAAACTAAAATAAAAATAGCGACCCCTTAGATTTGAGCTATAGGGCTCATGTTTGGCGAGGATTTTTTTTACATCAAATAGAAACATTTAAGGGGGTAAGAGTTAGGAAAAAAATAAAAATTTTGTTTGTAGCACCGTACTATATACCCTATGTAGTATGCTGTAGTAATAAAAAAATGTGTCTCTCCCGCCTCAAATATAATCATTAAACCTTCAGAAATGGCCAGAAATCGATGAAAAAAAATTTGGAACGTTTTTGGTCTGGAGCACCAATTCTGGACAATTACCCATTTTGTGAACATGTGAGAACATCGTTCTGTTGAACAATAAATTCATAGAAATATTTACTTCTACTTGACTTCAGGGTTCCATCGTATTTGAACGTCTATAATTAGGGGTAATTGGGTGCCAAGCAGAACCAACAGCAAAACTTAATTTAGGAAAAGTCTTCCAACATTGTAACCTATATTCTAATTTAGTAACGAAATAAATTGAAATTACTCAATCAAAATTTCGTGTATGTAAATATAAACAAATTGCGTTATCATTAGAAATCCAGCATTTTTTGCGACAGTTTCATTATAAAACGGAATTAGCATTAACTATTTTGTTCGATTAAAAATCATTTTTGCGATAACCAATGAAGCCAAAATTTGGCAATGGTACCTATGTTACGAACGGTGNAGAAGGTGTCCTACCAACCTATCTCGCCTATTTTTTATTGACTTCCATAGAGTCCTCTGTTCTCCTATTCTTTCCAATACCTCTTCATTTCTAACCTTTTCTACCCATGATATCCTCATCATCCGCCTATAACACCACATTTCGAACTCATCTAACCTTTTCTTTTCCGCCGCGCCCACCGTCCATGTTTCGCACCCGTACAATACCGTGCTCCAAACATATACCTTTAAAAACCTTTTTCGAATTTCTAAATTAACCGCGAGCATAGAAGTGACTTCTTTTTATTAAAGGCGACACGACCCTGCGCTATCCTCTGCTCTAAAAGCGTATGTAACTATTTTATTAACCATTCCATCACGCCTTCATCGAATGATGTTTAAACTTAATGTGTCAACAGATTGTATTTTATCAAGTCTTTGATTTTATTTTGCGATTTCAAATCATCATTATCATAGGTTCGTCAGTCTTAGGACTGGTTGGAAACACACCTCCATTATTTCCTATCTTGAGCAAATCTTCATATCTTCTTAAAGCTAAAACATCCTGCATAGTTAACTATTTGTAAACAGCAATCTAATGTAGGTCAACCTATACCCCTTTTAACTTCTGTTTCTGCTTCTAATAAGGCTCTTGTCAACCTTTCATGCCTCAGAAAGTGTAGTACCAAGCCACCTCGCCTACTTCTTATTGATAGATTAGAAATGAGTACAAGAAAAATTGTTGGTTAGGTAACAAGATTATCGAATATATACATGCGTGCACTACAATATTAATTGGAACATTTGTATTTCATGATCTCCTAAATTATATGTTTTATCTAATAATAAGGTTGCATAACCATAACACAATGTTCTTTAAATGTGCAATAGCATCGCTCCTTGTGGTTGAAATTGGATGCTGCTGCACACCCATCCATGTAAAGACCACTATGGAAGCAGTTAAATAATAATTAGCGACCTAGTAACAGCGTCACAATTTCGAAGGGTATTATTCGAGCATGTGCATCTTTACGCGCCGTTGTGCATGCACTTTTATATAACACCATCACCCGCTGCATTTTCTTTTATGTCTTTAAGTGTTGCTGGTGATCTTGATACCTTAGTTAGCATCATGGCAGTTCCAACAGTTCAACTTGTTGTGATCTCTTTGTTGATGACTGAGTTTGGAATCGCCGCAGGAGATGTGCATATTGTTCATAGAGTTAGAAAATGCATTGGGAAAGATTATTCAATGGTATGCATCAAGGAAGAGCTTTTGGATATCTTGAATCAAACGGTAATGAGTCATGAGTCGTTCCGGCTAGGAAATTGGATGGAAATCGAGAGGGATCCCGAATATGTTGCTAATCATATTGACGAAGATTTACCAACCAATATGGAAAAAAGGGATGAAAAATTGACAGAATTACTTTACAGAAAAGCCGAAGAGTACTTTGAATCAAGATCTCTTAGACTTCACCTCGCAGATGTTATTGAAGGTAGTACTGTTCTGATTTAGTTTCATTTTAATCCAATCGAAAAAAAAAAATTGAAATTTCTAAATAAGTGTAAACTCTTTATAACGTCACTCGATTTAACGACAACCTGTTTAAAACGTCGAAATTGCTTGACTTTGGTTGGTTTACATTATTTTCTATACAATATTACACTCTATATAGCGTCACGCTCACTCTATTTAACGACAACAATGCGGCATTATAAATCATTAAGCAGTACTTTCTAAGTTGCCGAAATAGATAAGAACTGCAGCTGTGTACGTTGTTGAAGAAGACGATCCTGTCCCTCCACCAAGCATCAAACAAGCACTTGATGCAGCGAAACTATTAAAAAAATACTTTTTATATAATCAAATTGATCCAGCAGTATCTCAAGATATGAGTAAGATACGTAACAAAATACAATCAAAATATTGGAGCAGCAAAAAACATCAGACGAAGATAACAGGCTATACGCAAATTACAAATAATAATGTTCGTGTGCAAAATGTGTAGTATATTGGTAAATGCATATTATTGTAGAATAGTGAAATAATATCTTTCATTTCTCTCCATTTAACGACCACTCTTTATAACGCCGAAAAATGTTCAGTCCCTTAAGTGTCGTTATATAGAGTTTACACTGTATTTAATTTAGAAATCACAATTCAACTAAAGCGGAATGATTTTGTGAATTTTTCTTACACTCTTTGATTCAGGAATCTGGTTTTTCAATATTAAATAATTTTGAAACAGATTTTCCCATATTTTGTTTCAATTTTCATGACAGTATGCTAAATATGGAAAGTTACTATACCATAATAAACGTTATGTCTGGTAGATATTATTTGATGTGCCTATCACATAATAAATATAGAGGATGACAAAGTAAACGGGTGATTTCAAAGTTGATTAATCATTGGATTCTAATCAAATCTCACATCACTAAGTTGATCAAAAGTAAATGCTCTCTTTAATATGTAACTGATAATTGATTAAATTCAAATAATGGTACATCAATATTCAAAAATTTATATACCACCCGTGACCTGCCTTTCGATACAACAATGTATACAGGTATAAGTTGATGAACTATCGGCTTAATTCTTTTCTTTTTATCAAGTGCTCCGTTGATGCGATGACTTATAAAAGTAGGTTGACCGAGTTTCTTGGACATAAACTGTTGTGCCGATGGATTCACTTCTTCTGGCCTCTCATGTCCCATTGTTTACATTGAATTACGCATTCTTTTGATCTATTTAGTATCAATAAGTCTATTTTACTTTAAAATAATCCATTTGTTGTATCTGTCAACATCGATACATTTCAGCAATTTAAATTAATTAAACGTTGCAGCACGAGCTGAGGTCAACCAAAATAATTATCGACATAGCTGGGTGGTTCTTCTTGTAATATCTTCTTATAATATGTTGTATAATTTTAATAATAATTAGCAGACCTAGAAAATGCATGAAAGAGCGGAACAATATTTAACACAGTTTACTTGCGCAGTTGGCGTAAAGCTTGTAAGATGCAATTTATGAACTTCACATTGAGAACAAATGATAATTTCAACTGTTTAAATTTGTTATAATTAACAAAACATGAATAAGTACAACTTTATTAAGCTAATGCAACAGAATATACCTACATGCTGATAATACCAAAAAATAATTTATCTCTTCCTTTAATACGTATGCGGATAAACGTATGATTAGGTATATCCGTTAAACTCAAAGTTCATTAAAATAGATATTAGTTTTCTAAACTTTAATAACAGTCTTTTAAGAAATACCTAATAGAAATTAAGTTGTGTCTATATAAACGAAATTTTTGATATCATTGTAAAAACTACCAAAATCGTCCATATATCAGGGGAAACTTCTTAAATCTAATTAAATTTTCTGAACTTTCTTTTAGGTCGAAAAAAGAAAGGAGGAGGTGGAGGAGGTAAGATGGCTTTGGTGGCAATGGCAGCCACCATGATGGCACAAGGCATGATGACTGGAAAAACAGCAATGGTGGCGGTAATTGCTTTGGTCTTAGCAAAAATGGCAATGATGATGTGCGGTGTAACCATGATGAAGAAGATGATGTCAGGGGGAGAAACGCAACATATAGTTTATACTGCCGATCTCGGGGGTGGTGGAGGTGGTGGTGGATACGGTTCTGGTGGAGGATGGGGAAGAAGCTTGCTGATTCCATCAAACCATGAAATTGTTTATAGAGCCCATACGCCATCGAGTTTACAAGAAAATCAGTATCCAATAATTACACCTTAACTGGTTTTTATTTAAAAATGTTTATTGGCTAGTAACTATTGAGGCTCCTGGTATCTAGTAGCCCAAAAGCTTTTTAACATTATATTAAAGTTTCTGTTGATGGAAACAGGTAAAATATGAAGGAATAACATGAATTGCTTTCTCGTGCTTTACACTTATTCAATATTAAGTTACGGTTGGACTGGTTTTCTTGATAAAGGGTTAATACCATGTAGTAAATGAAATAAATTTTATTGACTTGTACTTTTGGGTGGAAGAAGAGATTATAATAAAATATTATTCAAAGATGCTATTAAGTAAACATATATATTAAAGTATAGACAGAAACATAATTATTAATAAATCTTACAAAATGTTGGCATTGATGCAATTCTGTTGCCTCAAGGTATGCTTTGTAGTTGGTACAAATTTGAATTTGGAATAAAATAGAGAAGCAATTAATCTAAATTGTTACACCTAATGAAATATGTACCTACGGGATTTTAGATTCAATTATAATTATCGACCAAAAATAGGACAATTATTATATCCCTATAAAAACGTTTGAAACAACTTTCGTCTCCTTGTGATCAGCGTTTCAAATGAATGTATTTTTAAGAAGGTTGCTTTAAAAAAAGCTGAAGTTACAGTAACGTATTTCTGCTTTAAAATGCATCTAACTGAATACATACAAAATTTTTAACCCCACCTGTTAATGTATTGGAGACGTTAAAGATCAAAATTAAGTTGTACATTCCGAGCATTTTAACAGTACAAAAGAAATTATACTTTCCTTTCATATACCATTTATTTCTACCAATAGAACGATCACTACTTCACTACTTAATATAAAACAAAATCGCTTCCCGCTGTCTGTCCCTATGTATGTTTAGATCTTTAAAACTACGCCATGGATTTTAATGCGGTTTTTGTTAATAGATTAATTCAAGAGGAAGGTTTATATGTATAATACATGCATAATATAGTAGAGAAACACTGATAATTTTAGAGGTTTGTAATGTGATGTCAAAAAACACATTTTTTTGCGCTTACATTGCAAACGCTGGCTGAACCCTACGAGATAGATCAAAATAATATACTACAGTATTGTACACCTTAGAAAGGTCTACAAAAAAGTCCGGAATGGTATACGTCTATCTCTTAGAGATAACCCACAACATATTACAGATTTAAAATGCAGGGACATAGCAGTTGCGGCGGTTTATCGGAGCTCTCGTGCATTAATTTATTACAAAAATTGAAGACACATTTCTTCTTCTATATTGTTTAGATCAGTACACTTCTGTCAAATCTTAGATATATCAAATTCAATTGTCTTCATATCCCATGCATCATTAAACGTTACGCATATCCCAACGCCACTTGCAAGACTGCGTAGGACTTGGTTACTCTATTCTACTTTTTCTGTGGTTATAATCGCGTTAAAACGATGAATCAGTGAAAGCACATTTTAATTTGCACGAGAAATGCCATACTGAAATAGTACTGAAGTAGGTTCAACGTGATAGGTCATTTAAAAAGAGAAAATTTTCACTTGATTAGCCTTTTAAAATATCTCAGTACGGGTCCGTAAAACAGTAGGTCTATACGCTATCTGTATCCATATCGGAAATTCAAACATGTATTTAGTTTCCCTAATTTTGTAATTAGACATAAATAATGAGAATTACATGTTCCCAATTTGTTTGTATTCATTACTGTACCAAGTTCAAGTTCCGTAAGTTGATTGTACGATAATTTTCTAGTCACCTCCAACGGCGGAATGTACAGACCTACTACCGCATAGGTCGTTACGACGAACGTGGCGTGAAGAATGAATAGATGCCATGGAAACATCTCAGTAACGACATTAGTGAATAAACATCAGAGAAAATGGGACGACGAAACCGCGGCCTTCGTGCTATATCCTAGTGAAAGTTTCACTTGTGAGAAAGAAAAGACTTTTGTTTGTAGCTTCGGCTTGCTTCCACTTTTGTGTACTTAGCAATTAACAAACATCACGTGGAACAAGCAAGACGAGTTGTAGGTGTTTATCCAAGAGTACCATCATCACTTTTGTTAATCGCCGTTTCATATTTCTCAATGTGTGATACTATTTCGGGTTATACAAATCTTTCAAATAGATATGTATATGTACTCATACAATTAATAATACATGTCAACTGAATCAGTAAATACATAATCTTTCAATTTCGCTTTTTAAGATATAATTAAAAAAATCAAAGCCACATTGGGGAAAAAGACACGTTGTTATTGGGATAATAAACACCTACTTTATTGCATAAGGCTTCTTCAAAGCAGATTGCAAGTTTAATATTCGTTATATATCAAACCATCGGCACACAAAAATATTTATGGTATATATGCAATGCCCTGTATATTTTTACAGAAAACAAAGCTAATATAAGAGTTAAAAGATATATTATTAAGTAAACAGCTCTTGTATACGTTCTTCTCTGCGTCACTTCTATGCTCGGAAATGATAAATTTAGAAAAAGATTGTCGAAGGTGTGCTTGAGAGCGGCTTCGTATGGGTGCGAAACATAGACAGACGGTGGGCGCGGTGGAAAAGAAAAGGTTGAAAGCGTTCAAAATATGGTGTTACAGACGAATGAGAATATCTGGATAGACAACGTAGAAATGAGGAGGAATTATAGAAGCAATATAAGAACAAAAGTCGCTATAGAAGTCAATAAGACATAAGCAAGATAGGCTGGTAGGACACCTTTTCAGGCATGAAGGGCTAGTTACGGACATATTAGAAACAGAATTAGGGGTAAAAAGGAGTAGAGGTAGTCCTAGATTAGATTACTGTTTATTAATAGTTACATATGTGGGATGTTCTATAGTTATTTTAGGGAAATGTGGAGATTAGCTCAAGATAGGAAAAAGTAGAGGTGCGTATCCAACCAGTCTTAGGACTGATGATGACGATGATAATGATAAGGTTTTTTTTTAAATTTCTATACCACTTAATTTCTCAAAAAATATAGGTAAAAGGTAGATGCTCTACTCTTTATTTCCCAAAGTACAGAAGCGGTCAATGTCAAACATTCATTGGTTAATTAAGAATTAGGTCTTTTAAGTTTTAAAAGATATTTGATTTTGCACTGCATTGTTTAATTCCAATTCCATTAAATTTAATACGAAATTAAATGTCTAAATCACACAGTGAGTAAATAATGCAAAGGACGAAATCGAACTGAAAACAAATACTTTTCAAAAGATTAACCGTATTGTGGTCATTTAAAGCAATCAGAAAGACTTTTCCAGAGATGTGCATCTCTTACAGCTACTATAATCGATGTTGGAAGTTAATTTTTAACTTATTATAATAACATTTAAATAAAAATAACAACAAGTGTAGTCATACGAATGGATATGAGGTGCAGTGTCTACAAAATAAGTAAAACGTGTCACTTTATGGAATAAATAACATTATTTTAACATAAACGAATACTAGCTATTTTAGTTTTTTACTTTCCCTACAAGAATGTAATAAAGGTAACGGGTATACATCTATAGCAAATTCTTTTTGACCTAAAATATTACTTCCAGCCATATCCTCGAGCATGAGAATTTTTATGATCATTGGTCAGGTTAGAAAAAATCTAATCAAATATGCATTCAAATAATCTTATAGGTATAAATAATTTTCACAGTATTTTAACCATTTTCCGCAGCAAAATGTATTTTAAATTAGGCAATAAAAGTCACAACAGTTTATTTTTTTTCAGATATGGAGATAATATGATAATATAATAAAATAATACATTTATTTATTCAAGTACACATTGCCTTGCAGGTACGATTTAGCGCTAAAGATAATGAATGTGGATATCTATTTAAATGGTTAGTAATTAAAATTTATAATTATTGAATCATTGGATATAAAAATAGTATAGAAAGCGAATTGTCTACGTGTGATGGAATATATAGGTAATTATGCAGACGTGGAAAACGAAAAAGTACAACGGAAATGTTAATTTTTTAACGACTTACGAATTTGGTTATCTCTTACAAAAGTTTGTTAATGAAACTGAAAACAGAATAAGTAAACCTATCTGTATATGTAAATAAATTAACTTATATTATACTAACCATAATATTGTAGCGAGCACGAGTGTGTTTGTATGCGATCGGGCACACGTGTGGGTGAACGGCTTATCGATTCGCCGACTAGCCGGGGGCGCCTTTCTTCATGTGCGTCGTATTTGTAAATGTGTGTGTCGTACCTGCGTTCTGGGAAAACAGTAACTATCCGGATGTTTCCAGAAGGTTCCAGAAAGTAAACAAAAAAGTATTTAAAGGAAGAGACGATCGCCGAGACAGGAAGAAATAAATTGACCGTTGCAGAAGTGAATTCAGATATAAATTGACAGTGATAGCAGTGAAATAAATAGCGCAGTGAATAGTGGTATATCAACAGTAGTGTAAATAGTAAAAAGTTTAGTAATAATTTAATAGTGTTTTTAAGTTCTTTATTAATTCGTGTAAATGAATAGTTTTTGTCGTTATCAGTCTTAGAAGTTAATTTTGTTAAACCCACAAACATTACAATATACATTCTAGGACAATAAATAATTTCTAAAACTGCAGGAAACTTAATTCTTTATGCACAAAATTATTTGTTTACTTTTCAATAAATACAACTATACTTAAGGTAGTCCAGTCAAGCTGTCAATAGTAAAATCAGCAACTAAATAAAAATTTACAAAATAAACTAACTGATACCTTAAAATTACTCAATGAGAACTTTAAAAGTAAATTTTAGATTATAAAGTTTTGCTATAAACTAAATTCCTTACTAAATTCTTTATTTCGATTTAGATTGTGGTCTATTTATGTAATAATATCATTTTAATTGTTCAGTCTTTATTGTGAATGCTAGTTGTTATATTTAGTGTTTTTATCTATACAACTGTTCGGTTCTAGTTTGATTTGTTAATTAATATGTACCTTTCCAAAAAAGAAATTCCATCTGCTTTGCCTCTTTATTT